TGCAGTTAACTCTTTAGTGGAGTTAAACCTTGTTCCTTTCTAACTTGGAGCATAATTTGCCAGGGAGCATCTACTTTGACAGGGCAGTGCTCTCTGTGGAAGTATGGACAGGATTCCCCAGAAAGAGAGATCACAAACTAACCAGGAGAAGTACAGGTATTTGAAAGAGACCTCTTGATCTCTGTTCCACATTAGCCAGTTCCTGGGTTAGCTCTTTGACTGCATGTCCCAGGAGACAGCAGCTGCTGCGGATTACACCTCTTGCTTCCTATGAGCTAAGAACCAGAGCTGAGTTCCACCCGCTGCTGCCTTGAGCCAAAAGCATCTTGCTTCATCCCGGTCCCATCCCTGTCAGTGGCTGTTTGACTCACTCCCGGGTTCTCTTGCTGTCTCTCCGCAGCCTGTGTGTGCTGGCTACGACCTCTTTGAGGAGAGGCCGAAGTTGGCAGCGTGGCGCAGGCGGGTGGAAGAGGCGGTGGGGAAGCAGCTCTTCCAGGAAGCACACGAAGGGATCTTGAACGCCAAGAACTTGACCGCTGATAAGATTGCACCTGAACTGATGGAGAATTTCAAGCAGCAGCTCCTAAAGCAGGCAGCCTGAATCGGGGGGTTATGCTCTCAGTAAACCGGATTGTTCAGTGCAGACTTAGTGTAGTGTTTCAGCATTTCTAAACAATCCTACAGAAACACCATTCACACAATGCATTCCAGTCACAGCCTTCCTGCAGCTTCAAAGAGCTCAGGCTGCAGTGAGCTTTCTTCTCTTGACCGCTGCGGGCTTTTCTTTCAGGCTCCAGCACCACTGGATCTGCTTGAGGACAGAGGCGATTCAGTCTGCTGGGAGCTGGGGCCAGTCAGAACTGCCCTTTCCATTCCTGCTTTGAGTTTTCCAGGCCACAGCACCATAGAAAGGGCAAAGGTTTCCTGGGGCTATGGCAGAACAGATCCGTCTGAAACAAGAAAAATAACCGTAGAAAATGGCTTTCACTTTGCCACACGCTCAGCTGCAAGATGTTTGCTCTTTTAAAGAGGCAGGTCAGGACCTGACCTTTGATGGGGACCCTGCCAGAGGTCCTGGAGCCACCAGAGATTGCTGTGTCACCCATGGCAGCAAAGGGACTCAGCACCTCAGGTACCCAAGTGAGGCCTCCAGCTTCCGGGAATGATGGGGTTAGACCTGTAAATAGAGGTGCTTAACCACAGACTCCTGCAGTACCTTACAAAGATCAGCCTGCACAGCTGAGAGAAGCTGCTGCCGAGCACTGTCCCCCTCTGCAAACCATACCAAGTGCTCTGTCCTTTCCCCACAGCGGCTTTGTCATCCCGGTAGATGCCATCTAAGCCAGGCTCTCTCCACTGATGAGTGCTGCCAAGGCTGTGCCAGCACTGGTGGCAGAGGGAGCTGTGCTGGCCAGCCCCAGGGTGAGCAGGGTGCCCAGTACAGGAGCTGAGTTACTCTCCTGTCAAGTCAGATTCTCAGTGAAGTTGATGGTTACACTCGCCACATGTTGTAGCTGGATTGTGATCAGGAATGGGGAGGAAGCATCCACTGAGTCATCCTCCACACCTGGGCAGCCTCTCGCCCTTGTGTGTCCCTTTGTACCCTTCTGCCTTCCTGTCCTGCTGTCCCCGTGACCTTCCATTTCCAGGCACAAGCCATGAGGGTTCCAGCTTGCAGAGTTGGGGCTGGTTTTCCTCCTTGTTAAGCACTGGTTGTCCCTGGAAGTCCCTTTGTCTCTGCTGGCTGGTTACACCACCCACAGAGGTGGCTGCACAGTACGCTGGGTGCGAGATGTCAGTCATCTTAATGCAAGCCTGTGTGGCTGCTTTAGCAGCTGTAGGCAGGCATTACAAGCTGGGGCTCATGGTGCCTGTTTACGTTGTACTTTCAACCACCGCTTCCTCTGTAACTGCAGCTTACCGCAGTCCCCAGCTGGGCTGCTGCACCACTGGAATAGCAGCGGTCCTTCCTCTCTGCCTCAGCCAAGCTGCCAAGCCCCGCTGCACTCTGCCCTTGGCACATTTGTGCTTTGCCGAACCAGATTCCTGACCTCCAGCTCTTCCCATTCTTGTTGAGAGCAAACTTCCTGCCAGCAGAATGAATGCCTCGTACAGCTGTGCGAGTAGAAGCAGAGAAATAATCTGAGCCCAATTCACTGAGTGCCCATCTTGGCAAACTTCAAACTTGGTAGCAGGGCCTTTCTCGATACACATCTCCCTCCAGAATCTTGAGAGAGCTGCTGTGCGTGCAAAAGCACTGCATGAGCCAAAGCACATAAAATGCCTTTTTTCTTCTCTATGAGCCCTGTAGCACAGGAGCTCCATGTAAGAGAAGGCTGAGCCAATTTTCTGCTTGATTAATAAGGCACAAATTCTTTAAACATCACCCACTGTCTGCTCCTGCAAGGACAGCTGCCATGAACACCAAGCTGGAACCACATTCTGGACTCACTGTCTGGTGCTTCTCTGCTGGCAGAGATATATATATCCCAGAGGAGAAACACACCTCGCTCCAGCGCGGTCATGGTGACAGGAGGAGATTTTAAACTGCTTTTCCCCTAGTGTTTCCTGTCTGCTCCAAGCCCACCTGAGCTGTAGGTTCACCATCCTGATGCAGCTGTGTGCGGTGACTGGTGCCATTCTGGGCCCTGCTGTGCACGCAGAACAAAGCATCCCCAGATTAACTCTGTGGATGACAATAGAATTGTACACAAATCTGCCTTGCTGCCTTTTTCACTCTAAATCATGAAGCTAAAGCATCTTATCCTTGTCCTTTTTCTTTTGCCAACCCTCCATCTCCTTCACTGTATTCATTTGTGCCATTTGATCTTGGCTGTTTCCAGCTCCCATAGACCGGAAGCCCCAAGAGCTCCCTGCCAAACCCCAATGAGCTCCCTGCCAAACCCCAATGAGCTGTGCAAGAGATTTGCCTTGCCTCAGTGCAATGTTTGTTTGGTGTCCACTCCCTTTCACTTGAGTATGGAGAGTCACCTGCTTAATGTGCTGTTCTGATTCAAGTGCTTTAGTTCTGGGCAGGAGCTCTTTGGAAATAGGTGAGAGTCTACGCTTCCTAGAATAAAATGAAGCTGGGATACACAAAATGGGAGGAATGTTTAAAAAAACAGATATGAAGTCTGTGACCTTTTCTAAATGATTAAAATAAACTGCAAAACTTATTGTATTGTCTCCTGTGTTGTTCCTGTTTCCAAAAAGCTGACAAAGAAAGCAAAGGCTGGAGAAACAACCTTTGAGATGATGGAGCCAGATGAAAATAGAGGGCTAGAAGCACTAGCCTAGAGCCAGGAATAATGCAGTCAAATGCTGTGTAGCATGACCAGATGAAAACACCTCTTTGGTTGTGTTGGGCTGTGCAATGCAGTCGCCAAACTGGAGGAAAACTTGAGGAAGGAACATTTCCAAGAGGGACATGAGGAGATCTTAAAGTGCAGACAGGACTGGTGGATCAACTGAACCATAAATACAGCAGCAAAGCGAACCCACAGCTGCCAATCTTGCTACCACCTGAGCTCAACAGACTCTTCCCAGTGATGAATAGGGACTCGTGGCCATTCTGAAGCACAAAGGCTTCTCGGGCTGTTACCTGTGCAAAGCCCCATCCCCGCTCCTTTTCTCCATTCCCTTACCATCTGAGATCTCTCTGCACTGAAGGAGCACATGCCACAGTGCAAGCCTTCACTGCCAGCGTGTTGGTGCTTGTGTGGGAGCTCTGGAGGGTGAACTGCAGAGGGAACTGAGGGGTACACAGCCCTGCTCCGGTTCTGGCTGAGGGACTCTTATCACACAGTTCTGAATCTGAGCAATGACCCTGAAAACGGGTGTGTGGTGCAGCAGGTCCAATGCTTCATGTCGAGACACAGCTTGTTCCCCAGGCTCTGCCTGACTGCACACTAACACAGTGAACCCCATTCCTGAGGAGATCTCAGAGCTGAAGTCTTGGCCCAGTGGCATGAAAAGAAGCACCTGAAAGTGTTTGTTTGCAATGTATCAGTCATCAAGCCCCGGGCTCAGTATCCAAGCCTTTTCACCACCCTTCCTAATGATCCTCTAAAAGAGCCTCCCTCTCCCGGAGGTTCCTGGGGCTCTTTCCAAGGCTCTGTGCCTGCCGCACCAGCTCTCAGGCACAGCGCTGATAACGAGGTGTCAGCTGAGCCCAGGCGGGTTTGACTGGGGGTGACTTTGCTCTGAGTGGTTCAGCCACTCTGTCTCCCAGAGCCCCCGGCGTCCCTGTGCTGCTCAACCACTTCTGCAGGTCACGCAGCTCTGAAGCGCCGTGGGCTCTGTGGAAGGGGTTGAATTCAGTCTGCGCTGCTTCAGTTCTCATCCGTTCGTGCGGAAATCCGAGGTGGTAAATACGTGGGGAGAGGAAAGTCACTTCACTGCCAGCGCGCAGCGTGATGCCCGCAGACGTCCTTCAGGCATCGCTTTGCAGCGCTGGGCAGAGACTACGTGCCCAAGGAATTATCTTCTGGGCTGAAAACCATGCTGAGATCCTAGGGAGTGAGATGAATGCTGGCTTAGAGGGTGTTGCGCAAGGGCCCTGTTTGCAGCGTGACACATCCCCACAGGACCGCGTTAGAAAACAAGCATTTACCCTGCGAGAGCCGTGGTGGGATGCTGTCGGTGAGAATGGGCTCCTGACGCCTGTGGCATCAGCCAAGGCTGGGGGGCGGAATGACAGCTCCTCTCCCTCAGTGCTTAGCACCAGCCTGTCCTTTGAGGCTGCTAACCTCCCATCACTTGTAAGTTACCCTTACTCCTGTTACCTTCCCCTGAAGCACACAGCCGCAGCTCTAGGGTGGCCAGGGCTGCCCAGCGCTGCGCCACGGGGGACCCTGCGTGTGCCCCCCACTCCTGCCGTGCCTCGCTGATGCTGCCCCAGCCGGGAGCACTCTCCTGGCCCCCTCCAGCCCCTCACCCTGCAGCCTCGCACCCGCGGCCCCCCGGGCGCAGCCCCCGAGGGCGCCTCCCCCCGCCTGCCCATGCGGGGCGGCCCCGGGCGGCGGTGACAGAGCCGCTGCCGCTTCCCCGCTGGCCGGGCCGGGCCGGGCGGCAGGATGGGGCTGGAGCTGTACCTGGACCTGCTCTCGCAGCCCTGCCGCTCCATCTACATCTTCGCCCGCAGCAACAACATCCCCTTCGAGTTCAAGCAGGTGGAGCTCTTCAAAGGTGGGCCGGGCACGGGGCCGGGGCTGGCTGCAGCGCGCCGGGGGCCGCAGCTCAGGGCCCCTCTCTTGGCTCTTGGCAGACTCGGTGCTGGGGAAGAAGCCGGCGGCGGGGAGCGGCGCGGAGCAGCCCCACGCAGGTGCGGGGAGTGGAGGGAGGGAAGAACCGGGCTCCGCCTGGGGGTCCGTCCTGTTGCCGGCCCGCGGGGAGAGCCGGTACCCGGCGCCGTACCGCGATCGCCGGGCGCGGTCCGGGCTGAGCCCCGGGGCTCTGGGCTCCCACCCCTCGGTCAGAAGCGCCCATCGCTGTGGTCCCGGATCGCGCAGACCGCCGGTGTGTGTGTGTGTGGGTGTGCATGTGTGTGGGGGTGTGTGTGTGTGTGTGTGTGTGTTATGTTTTGCCCCCACGGCCCCGTCGCCCCTCCGGGTGAGGAGCAGAAGCTCTTGAAAAGCATCTCGGCCCCTGGTGCGGCTCCTCGGGGAGCTGAGGAGATGTGGAGCCTGGGACTGCTCCATGGGGAAGCTCGGTTCGGTTCGGTCCGGTCCCGATAAGCAGCGATGCGGGGGCCCTGTCCCTGCTGAGGAGATGTCAGCCTTGTTTGGGAGGCTCGGTCTGAGCCAAAGGAGGAAGCGCTGGAGCCCTGGGAGGCAGCAAAGTGCTGGAGCTCGTGGAAGCCCGAGATCAGCCACGAATGAGAGGGATGCAGGTGTGCAGAGCTCAGGGGATAACTCTGCGGTCTCACCCCGGTGGCCTCTCAAGACAGGGACCTATCTTGCCTGGGGAGGGTGAAACAGACCAAGCCTGTCCAGACTCAGTCAGAGCTGGGAGCTCTGCTAGGCCGGCTGGGAGGGAGGCACGGTCCGGCTCCTCAGGTTAGCTGAGGGGTTCTAAACACACGCTCTCCGGAGGGGCTTGAATTGAAGGGTCTGAGCACGCAGCTCATTCCCAGAGCAGCCTCATGGCTGTGCTGCGTCTATTTTTGTGGATCCCCAAGGAATGTTCCTCCAGCCATTTCTAGCAAATTAGTCACAGTGGCAGCCAAGGAGGAGTGCTCTGGGAATGGTGTCCGAGAGGAACACTCAGCTGTTCGGACTTGTCCAACTGTGTGACTATTGCACACTTACCCACTGCACTTTCCTTGTCAATTGCTACTCTTTTGCCCAAGGCAAAGCATAGTACTTGGAAAACCCTGGCTGAGGAGATGATTAGCCAAGGACATGATTGGCAAATAGCTTGTTTTGGTTGTCCCTTTTTTCCCTTTCTACTTTTGTAAAACCTTGTCCATTGCTCTTTTTTACCCATCTCCTTCCCTGCACTATGACTTACACTTAAGAATTCCTCTTGTGTGCAGCCTGCCCTGCTTTCTGACAGTGTATGCTTATTAAAGTTGCTCCTCAAAGCCCAGCAATACACACAGTGTGTATATATATATATATATGTATCTCCTTGGGGGATATCAGGAAATTACACCAGATCCAAGTGATGTTAAAGAGCATCCTAAGTGGGGTCAACATCACAGGAATGACAAACACTGGTCAGTCACTTCATACAACTAAACAAAAGGGCTGGCTCTGGATGCTGGAAGAGAGGTAAAAGCTTAAACTCTGTTAAATGGCAAATACAAATTGGTCTCAGTTGGTCAAATGAAGCAACCTGGAGTTATTGTTCAAACCAAGGCTTTTATCAGTTTGCAGCTCAGTCACGCACAGGTCTTTTATGTCTCTATGCAAAGACCCTGTATGAGACAAAGCAAACAAGGTGCCATTGCTGGGCTGTGGTCCAGTCTAACAGACACTGACCTACTGCCCAACCTGCTGTAACGACATGAGGCCCATCAGGGGACTGATATGTTCAGTATTCCTGCTAGGACTGCTGCACGACGAAACCAGACTGAAATCTGATTCAGGCTGCCTTCACCCACTGCTTACATCTCATCCGTGTCTCTTGGCTACCTTGGGTAATAAACACAGCAGAGCAACCAGCCAGCAGGGTCCGAGAGCTGACTGCTCATTAGCTGTGGGCATCAGTGACCTGCCACATTCTGCTGCGTGTTTCCAAGGACCGCTTGAACTTGCAGACCTCACCAGGGCTGGGTGTGTGATGGCCACTGGCCTGCTAAAAGCAGAGGTCCAAGCACAGGGCCAAGCACTCTCCCAGAGCAGCTCCTTGCTTGATAGTAGAATTACATGAATCTGCCTCACTGTTTTTATCATGTAAACCACGGGTGCAAGGCACCTTGTCCTTCTTTGCCTACTGGCTTGATTCTGGGGGGTTGTTTTATATATCTGGTTTTGATATTTGAGTTTCTCAGTTATTAGGCTTAACTTGAACTTTCTGTCTGGCTCCTATTCTTAAGAAACCATTTCTTCCCACCTCTCCTGCCAGCTCTGCCTGGCTCTGCTGCGCACATGGAACCTCTTACCCAGCTAAGCTGGATGGAGGCCACCGTCACTGCAGGTAGCCAGAAACATTTCCCAGTGAGATGGGGCACATGGGCTTGAATCCCTTCAGGCAGCAGACGGATGTGAACCTGGGTCTCCAATGAAGCCGCTTACACTGGAATGATAAAAGGCATTTCCCAAAGAAGAAACAAGTAGAGGGTAGTCAGCTAGAAAGGAGGACAGGGTGGTAATGTTGGCTGGGCTTGAGTTGTCTCATTATGTGAAATCAATATTGGGAAAGTAGTCTGTAATTTGCAATGCAGCGACCTTCCATTCTCCCACCCCTTCCCAAAGCTGGCTGCAAATAAACCTGATAGTCCAAAGGCTGGTTTTGTTTTATGGAGACTATTCCCTGCTGCACGTTTGTCCAGTAAAGCAGATGCTGATGCTGCCTCCTGAATGGGGGCAGAGTGTTCTTGGGGTTGCAGATCACTGCCTGTCAGTTGATGGCCCTTAGTTTCATTCTGAACAAAGATTTTTGTAGAAGCCCTCCTGCTGCCCAGGCTGATTCCTTCAGGATTTGCACTGTAGATGTGATGTCTCCTTCTAGGGAGCACTTCAAACAAGCAAAACAAACAAACTCCTCACACCTTTTCTTAGGTGTTCCTGGACTTTCGTACAATTCCCTGGCATTTAACTGCTGACTGTCAAGTCCAGTGTCTGCAGCAGGAAACTGAAAACCTGACAAGGCAGTCAGCTGTTAATGCCTCCAAGGGGCTGGATGGTGTCTTCCTCCTGTGTTTTCCTGATGGAGGCAGGTTGGCCTGCAGAGTGAGGAGTAACACAGAGCCAGGAGTAATGCAGGGCAGAGGTGTCTGAGCTTCCCTGCCCCTAGCCAGTGTCCACTGTGGCAGAGTAAGTTACTTCACGAGTTGTATTCATGTTTTTCCCCATCCCAGCAAAAACTCTGGGAATATCCCTAACCGTGTCTGCTGAGGGATCAGCTCTGCTGACAGCATTTGCTTTCTTTGCAGATACTCAATTCCCTCTGCTCTTTAGAGGCAAACAAGCAGGAAGATTTTGCTCCTGTGCTGAGTTGTCTGATTAATGAGCCACTGCAGTGATCTCTGTGGGCACAAGGGCTTTTCAGTCACTCTCCATCCAGACTCCATCCCAGCTAGAGTCAATCACAAACTACAGGAAAATACTTTGCCTTGGTGCTGCCTGTGTGAACAGGAACAGGAGCAGCAATCATCTGCCCTTGTTAGGATGCTCTGCATGCAAACCCAGCTTTTCCAGACCTGGCTTCCTTGGCAAAAACTGTATGTTTCGTAGGCGCTCAGCAGTCTCCATCCTAACTTCTGTCTTTCCCCTCCCTGTCTCTAAAGCTGTAGGGTACTGTTCAAGTCAGCTGTTCCCGGTTATCTGCAATAGTGTTTTCCACATCAGTACCTTTATTCTGGTATCTTAATGCCTCTCAGGGAGTGATATTTTTCAGGAAGCTTTGTAAGTATGACTGAGTCAAGCAATAGCATTCCTGTATGGGAATGTGAACTACTCCATGCCATGTGCCTGGCCTGAGCCGACTGCCCTCTGCAGACAGCTTTTACAGACTGCCCAATCGCATTACCTTTTAATTGTGAAATTTGACCATATCAGAAAACTTAAGTTTTCCATATTGGAAAACTTCACACAGTTCACTGGCTGAGAGTTGGCTGCAGGCATTTCCTTTATCATTCACTAGCAGATACGCTTCTAACCTCTGACTTTGTGCTCGTAGGGCCATCAAATAGTGAAGGAGCTGGCAAAGTCAGCCTCTTGAAGAAGGTACCAGCACTAAAGGATGGAGACTTTACCCTAGCAGAATGGTAAGAACTCAGTCCTTAGACCTCTTTGGTTACCAGTAACCTGTGCAGCATTTAGGAGACATTATTCCTGCTGAATGATTAAGGATCCCAGAATTGATGAACATGTTGGTTATTTTCAATAGGATAGCCTCATTTGCTCTGTTTCCACTTTCCATTTGAGTTATGTTTCAGAAGGCAAACAAACCAGCTGCAAACATATCACTTCTTGGTCTTACACTGTCAAAATGGAATTACAGACATGCCTGGGAAATGTTTACAGCTTATAAAAATGCCTTTTACCCTAGGAAAAATCCTGTTTATCTGCACTAGTCACAATGGCCAAGTAAACACCTACAGAGACAAAACCTAGGGTTTACATTGTAAGGTTCATATGGAGACTGCCTAATGGTATCATAATACTGAAATGGAACTGCAGCAGTATCAGCATAGCAGCAGGATCTGCATCTTCCATTTTGTCAGCACAAGATTTTCTGTGGCATCCCTCTTGTAGTAACAGCCTACACATTGCTGCAGGTGACCGGAGTGTTCTTCCATGTGATTTCTCCTGCCAACGAAGGAAAGCAGAAACATCTGGATACACAAGCAAGGGTCCTGTAGGCTTTCCTTGCTGGGACTTCCACTGATTTCACTGGAAGCTGCAGGCTAGAGACAGATCTGATGAAAAGGCATCATAACCCATTAGAGAGTTTCATTTCATACACAGGCATATAAACACGCACAGGTCTCACAGAGATGGGTCAGAACAGTCGGAGAACAAGTGGGATCAGCAGTGGGGATCGGTGATTATCGAGGTTTACTGTTTGCTCACCCCAGTACTACCTGGCAGTACTCTGCACCATGGACCGGGGCTGTGATTTTCCAGCAGGTTAAAGTTTTCATGGGAACTAAGGTGATGAGTTAAGGTGATTAAGGGCATTCATGGGAACAAAGTGCTGCCTGATAACCATGTGAATTAGATGCTTATCTGTGGTCCCTAGACCCCATCAGAAACCTTGATCTGAATGCTTTTTAGTGGAAGAAGCAAGTTCAGAAGGGGCGGGAGAGGGAGCTTAGGTGAAAGTGTTCTGCGTTGTAGCTCCCTGCTCCTTTCTTGTCTCTTGTTACTGTCTGAGCAGCACCGCCATTCTGCTGTATCTGAGTCGAAAGTACAACACACCTGACCACTGGTACCCATCAGACATACAGAAACGGGCCCAGGTAGACGAATACCTCTCGTGGCATCACGCTAACATCCGGGCTAGCGCTCCCAAGACCATGTGGATCAAGGTAAAGAGAGGGAATGTTAAAATGTGGGTAAAGCCATGCTTTCCTGGCAGAATACTGAGCATTAGGACAGTCCCAATTCGGAGAGAGTTCATTATGCTGAAATAGCAAACCTAGGCCATTCCTAGCTGAAAGGGGCTATCAGAGAGGGAGCTGTGCCCAATTGCTCAACATCAGGATCTGGCAAAAGCAGCTTCAGCCATTCTGTGACAGGTCTGGTACAGAAGGTCTCAAAGCCCAACAGACTTCCATCGCCTGGATTTGTAACAGATTGGATGTTGCCTCCAAGGGCCTCTCCCTCCCTGCACAGCTGTGCAGAGCATGCACATAGGCAGAAGTTTTGCTTCTTTGGCGAGCATGTGCTCAGCTGCTGGAAGCAGCCAGGGTTGCGTTCTTCATACAAGTCCCTGCAGCCCCATCTGGGTGGAAATCCAGAAGGAGCCTTCTTCTTCCAGCACACTTGGGTACTGCTCTGAGATAGAAATAGAACAGAGACACAGAGAGAACGGCAACACCTCTTTATTCGGTGTGGCCAGATGAATCCACACTTAGGCAAAGTTAGAAGAATCACCCTGAGGCAGAAAATCACTCGGTGTCAGCTCATGTTGCTGGGCACTTATTTCCAGCCACCTCACCAGACAGTTACTGCAAATATCCTTGGAGAGACCCGGGTGCAAATACAGCCCGTCCAGTGCAGCTGTGGCATGGAATTTCAGGTGAAAGCAGGGTTGTCAGTAAGCAGGTAAGAACTTCACTCTTCCTGTGTGAAGTTTGCCCTTGTTTGTGCCTAACAAAGTGCATCAGGACCAGCCTCTTGATTTATTGACACTTGAATTTTTGGCTAGAGAGCACAGAGAAGCAATTCAAATATGAGTCAGATTCATACAAGAAGCAGTTTCTTCCAGTCTTTGCAGGCTGTTATTGGGAAACAGAAATCCAACGAGCTGATGCTGCTGATTAGATAACCCAGATACAGAAAAGATCCTCAGAATAATGAAACATACAAAGCCACCATGTAACAGAAGGCATATTAGGTAGACATGGGAGAAGATGGACTGCTCTGAGGTACAGAAAAGGAAGAAGATGCTGTTTCAAGTGATTATATCTGGAGATCCCATCGTGCCTAATTGGAATCACTCAGGAAGAGAGCTGGCCATGAATTTTCTGGTGAAATAGATTGCACATGTATTTGGCAAAAATCCTGGCTTGGATTAAGCAATCCCAACTTGAGTTGTTGAAAATACCAGCAGTAAGTAGAAATAGAGTCCACTCCCACCAGTGGAAATCTGTATTCATTCTTCTTCTCTAAATAAGCTATGTTTCTTTAGATGTGGTAGGTGGGGGCACATTGCTGTTACACACTGCAGGCTCCGATGGTGTGTGCACCTCTGCGAAGGGTGGAAAATCTCATGGCAAGGCAACCACCCCCAGTGCTAGCAAGCCTGTGGAGACAATGACCACCCTTTCCATAACTGCTCTGGAAAAACTTGGGAGTGGTTTAAAGAACGATGCCTGGAAGGCCACAGAAGGGCTGGTGTAGAAATGGTGCTTACCCATTCCCAGCCTCGCTGGCTGCTGTCACACAGGGGAAGCTATTTCCTGCATCGCCAGCCAGTGCTGATGCACTCCAGTGCTTCCTACGCTCCCCACCGCAGCCACCACCGTGCCCTCCTTCCCATCACCCTGCCTCCAGCACCCGGCCACACAACAGGGTGGATACAGGGTGGGCTGGGGTGCAGGCAGCTTGCTGAATCACAGGACACAGCAGAGCTGGCTATGGTGGAGATGTGTCTTCCCTGGAGCTGTTGCTCTTCTGTCACCCATCCGGGTGGGGTGGGAGGGCACAACTGCCAGGAACAAAACTGGTTTTGTTCTGCATATTGCTGCCCATTAGCTGAGGTTACGGTCACAGCAGATCAGCTGCTCAGGACCGCTTGTGTGCTTTCTGTCCATGAGCTACTCACACGTGCAGCAGTCCATGAAGCTCTAACATCATCCCATCCTGCAGATCACTGACCATGGTGAGTTCATGGGGTGTAACTTAAGTGACCACCACCAGATCCATCAGAAAATGGCTGGCTGTACTCTTCAATCCCTTTTCTCCTCAGGTGCTGATTCCCCTCTTCACAGGGCAGCCACTGCCCTCTGAGAAACTCCAGGAGGTTATGGAGGGGCTTTCCACTTCCCTGAAGCAATTTGAGGAGAGGTTTCTGCAGGACAAGGCGTTTATCATCGGGAATGAGATCTCTCTGGCTGATCTTGTGGCCGTGGTGGAGCTGATGCAGGTGAGTGCTGGAGTGTGGTAAGGAAGGCCCAGCACAAGCGAAAACAGATGCTGCCAGGCAGGGAGGGATGCAGCATGTGGAGAGAGGAGTGATGGCGTACCTCAACACAGCTAAGACAATGAGGAGAACATGGGAGTGGGTTCGGAAAACTAGTTTAAAAAAAGAGAGAGAGAAAAAAAAAGCTGGTTGCAACAGATCTCCTCTGTTTCTCTCCCCTGACAATACTTCATCCTTTATCCTGATTTTCACCCTACAGAGGAGGTGAGAAACAACAGCAAACAGGTCTGATGAAATAAGAAAATGATCTAGCCATATTCTACTTCAGATGGTACTTGCCCATGCGAAGTTTGGAAGATGCAAAACTGATTCTCAGACACAGGCAATCAAGTCTGTTATAAAGTGGGTGCTCTCTGCCAGAGCAGCAGGGTCTGATTCCTTCTGTGTCCCAAAGACTGAACAAAGTCCCAAAGAGTTCTGCTTCTCTACAGCTTTGTGTTTCAGAGGGTGGCACAGGCAGAAAGCAGAAGTGAGGTAGATGATGTCAGCTAAGTTCAGTCAAATACTTAGTGTTTTGTGCTGGGGTCTTGCTCTATAATACAGGCGAACTGTGCAGCTGGCCCTGGGACTGTCAGCCCACCACTGCTATAGCTGAAAATCACTCACAACAAGTGGTAGGCATCTCTGCTGCTCGTAACTGCTGTTCTGGAACTCAGGAATTTACTTGTAAATGCCCTTTAAAACAGAGGCTAGCTCCTCTGTCCTCCACATAGACACACCCGACCAAGGAATTCCCTCCTTCCTAGTGCTCTGCTACAGGCTCCTCTGGATTTTTTTTCCCCTACCTGTACCTGCAGGCACACTTTTGATGCCTGTGGTCTTGATGAAATGACAGCCCAGCGCTTCACTGTTGCTCTCTCCCCATTTCTGCAGCCTGTGGGAGTTGGTTGTGACGTCTTTGAAGACAGACCTCGGCTGATGGAGTGGCGCAGGCGGGTGGAGGATGCTGTGGGGAAAGAGCTTTTCCTTCAAGCCCATGAGATGATCTTCAGTATCCAAGAACTGAGCAACATTCAAATTCATCCGCAGCTGAAGGAGCATCTGACACCTGTGTTGATGAAGATATTGAAGTGAATTAACCTATCTTACCCTTTTTCATGCCCCTTTTGTTTTAACTTCTTCTCTGACCCCCAGTTCTACATGTAACTGGAAAGAGCATTGTCCTTCTAACACAGAAACTGCAGACTGTTTCTCCTCCCACCAGACCTTTCTTGTATCTCTGTGCATGGAAGCTGGGGAAGGCTTAAAACCTGAAGCATTAAATTCATCCAGTAGGCTGAGGTCACTTAATGTGCGCATCTGGGTTTTATTTCAGCGTCACTCTTTTCAGAGATGGTAGTGACACAAATGGTATTTCCTGACAAAAACTGAGCCAGCCTACACTGGGGAACTGCATAGGATGGGGATCATTGTTTTCATGTGATTTCAACAGCTCCTTCTCAAGTGGCAAGCACTGCAGGCGTGTTTGGTCCTCACCTTTCTTCCCAGCACACACAGCGCAAAACTACAGGAGGTCACAAAGTGAAAAAACACATCGAATACATTTTATTTTTTTATTTTTTAATTTTTTTTTAATTTTTTTTTCAGTTTCTCACTGTTGAGGCCTCTTGCTTGGCTCTCCATGCACACCCCCCACCCTTCCATTTGCCTTTAAGCTCCTGTAAGAAGTTTCCTCATCTACAACTGAGAATCCTCCCAAAGCTCTGGTTATGCCACTGCTCCCCATTTCTGGAAGCCCGGGTTTCTTTGCTGCTTGATCTGCCCGTACACATGATAGGGGCTGTTCTGGGAGATCCATGCAATAAAGACCAAGCCACCTGAAAAAGCTGATGGTGGCCACAGCCTTTCTTTAATTGCCTAACTAAAATACTCTTGCTATTATGTAGGGAATACAATGAGAGAATGAATTCACAGTGATTGCTTGGAAGATAATATAATAGGAAGCAGATTGGTTTTGTCTGTGGTAATGCTGCAATAGCAATCCACATTTCTGCCAGAAAATGCAGAGGGGGAGTAAATCCAGACATGGTCTTCTGAGACTGTTTTGGATGGAAGTTTACCAAGTCACCCTGTGCAGCTTAGCGAATAAGAGGCTTTGTGGCATTGAGCAACCGATGCCTCACAATAAAAGGACAGAGAGTTGTTTTGGAGCTTTGGGGCTCTTTTTCTTGGCAAATACAGAACCCTTTTGTGCTGCAGTACAATTTATGAGCTAAAACTGAGAGGCTCCAACCATTTCTAGTTTTTTTCAGTTGAAAATAGCAAATCGTAAAGGATGCAGTAACTGGCGGAATCCGTATCTCTGCGTATTTCCATTCATAAGTAGTTGCTGCCCTTGAAGCTTACCCTGAAACCCTTGCCTAAGAACTCTTCCTGTAGAGAACAGGACAAAATGAGTAAATAATCCAGGAAGTGCTTCTCTCACTAATCAAATAACTCGTTTTCCCTCCAGTACCACCATGTCTTGGCTAGTGACGTTTCTGCTGGGAAGCTGTATAAAACCTGATGTGTTCTGGTGATGTTTTTCCCTAATGTTTCAGTTCTAGGTATTACCGATTTAGTCCAGAGCCTACAGAGATCTTTAAATTCCCTGTCTGAAAAGAGAATTCCATGACATACTGCAGCTTCCATGAGCAGGAAATTTCGTCCTGTGATAGTGTTCTCTATAAAGACGAGCCCTGACTAAACATTCTCTCTTTCCATGCTCCAAACTATTAGAAACAGGCACATGATTATTCCCACCCTATCAGTTCTTCCCAAGCTGAATCGTATGTTTCTATGGATGTGTTATTCACAAAATATTGTCTACAACTGAGTTAAATTTTAAATAGGAAATGGTTGGGGTTTTTTTATATGTATATAATTTTGACAGTGGAATTCCTAAGTGGATGATGGCACAGGCAAATGTCTGCAGAAGGGGAAAAACTGCCATGATTTTCCAAAGGCTGAGCGGATTTGAGACTACTTGCTGCTGTGCTGTCCTGTCTTGGTCATACGTTCATAGAACCATAGAATCGTTCAGGTTAGAAAGGACCTTAAGATCATCCAGTTCCAACCCTGCTGCCATGGGCACGGACACCTCACACTAAACCATGCCACCCAAGACTAAACCATGTCACCCAAGGCACCCCCGTACAAGCATTTTAATTGCCAGCTCCAAGACAGAAACAATAACCCAAATGTCTTTTGCCTAGTAAGAACTCTGTGAACAATCTGCCATTCACATGGTCAGCCATCGAGAGTGAAGGAAAACACGTATCAATCAAGATGTTTGTGACAGTCCCATGTTCTGTTCTAATTGCTGACATCTGATAACTTGAATCTTTTATTTTCCCTTTGGAGGCTTTCTGATACGCTGGTTTCTTTCCACATGGGGTGTTTTTTTTTTGGCCTTGGAATTGGAAGAGATTTATAGTGTTTAAAGGAATGAAAAACAGAAAAATGGATGCTTAACAGCATCTTACTTGGAAGTCTTGACTCCCAGGGATCAGGCAGTGGTGGGCTTGCACCTGGGGTTTGCAGGGTGGGTGAATAACCCCCCTGCTGTCATTTCAGTTGCAAACTGGGGATCATCTCTTCTATTTACAAGATTATATCTTTCTGTACATTTACCCTGGAATCTAATGGTTTTCCTGGGTTCTTTTTTCTGCTGCTTTCCTGGATTTGAAGGCAGTATCTGTGTTACCACTTACCACCACAGGCAGCCACCCTGACTGCCTGCCTGCCATACCCCGTCCCCTCTCTCTTCACAATCTCTGTCCTAGAAATCTTTTTCCAGCCTTAGTGCTGGCTGGTTTACCCACAGAGCTCCTCATGCCAGTATTGTCTGCATTAGCAGCAGTAAAGGCCAAGAAATTTCTCCAGCAAAACAAATGGTCAATTCCATCAGTTTTCATTAAGATTGCCTAGAACTGTAGAAAACCCAACAGTCACATCATAAAGGGTTTTCAAAACAGTGATGTGCCCTTTTAGTCTAGCTAGTTCATAACCTTTTGCTGTAAATGAGCAGGTGTAATGCTCAGTGGGCAGTAGCTGAGCTCCTGAGAAAGCTCTGATGTCTAGGTTTGACACCTCTGATCTGTAGATGAGACTGTCCCTATGAGGCAGCCTGCAGGGTCTTTTATCAACTTGGGAGCTCAAAGTCCTGATTGCACAAGCTTGTTTGGTAACACGTTGGATAAAACAAGAAACCTCCCTGCTTGCCTTTTACTTTCTTGCAGTGCCTGTTGTTCTGAGACATCACTGCTCTGCCGTTCTTAACTCTCCCTGTGCAGAGGCGTCCATCCCGGTGACCAGAAATGTCTTCCCACCGGCATTAAGGCCTGTCACAGAACTCGTTCAACCCATCCATCGGTGGCACGGGAGTTCCGGGCTCCCGCAGTCTCTAACTCACACCCCAGCAATGCACGGTGTCCAAAGCGAAAGGCCCCAGACCCAGCTGGGCTAACGCGGGGAACACGCGGAGCCTGTGGCGCTGGAAGCGCAGGGTGACCCCGCATTGCTGCAACAGCCTCGGGACCGGCGAGAGTTCCCTGTTCCGGGGCTCGGTCCGCGCTGGGGGCGGAGCGGGGGCCGGGCCGGGCCGGGCCGGTCGGTGGCGGTGCGGGCGCGCTGTGCCGTAGCGCGGGGCCATGCCGTTCCTGGAGCTCGACACCAACCTCCCGGCCGGGCGGCTGCCCCCGGCGCTGGCCCAGGACCTGTGCGCGGCCGCCGCAGACATCTTGGGCAAGCCGGCGGAGGTGAGCGAAGGGCCGGGGCAGCGGCGGCGGGAGGGGGGGAGCCGGGGCCTGACGGTGGCTGTGCCCGCAGCGGGTGAACGTGACGGTGCGGAGCGGGCTGCCCATGGTGCTGGCGGGCTCGGGCGAGCCCTGCGCGCAGCTGCTCGTCTCCTCCATCGGCGTGGTGGGCTCGGCGGAGCAGAACCAGCGGCACAGCGCCCGCTTCTTCGATGTCCTGACGGCGCAGCTGGGCCTCGGCCCCGAGCGGTGAGTGCGGGCGGGACGGGGGTGCTGCGGGGACGGGGGCTGTGCCGGCCCGCGGGCTCCGGCGCCCCGAGGTGAGAGGCACCGCGCCTGGCCCGGGGGCAGAGCGAGCGCCTCTGCTCTATCCCTTCTGAACGTGTGAAACACAGCAAACCGTACAGACAGGTGCACAAAGTAATGAGGAAGTAGGTTCCCATGTCCTCTGTGAGGTTAAAGCGTAACAGAGCCTAGACTAGGCTAGCAAACAGAGAGTGCTCATGAATGCCAAATCCCAGACGTGGTTTGGGTCCAAATAAAACTATGGACCGGTCTGCAGTCGTTGCGCAGCCTGGGTTACTGTTCTCTGAAGATGAGTAGTTCCAGTTGCTGTAACTGGTGCAAAACCCCCATGGGAACAGGTCGCCGTGCCAAATGGCTGTCCTGAAGGTAAGCCATGTCCCTTTCTGCCCCTCTTCCCTGTCTCCCCAAGGTGAGTAAAAGCATTTCCCTGCTTCTTGTCAGGGTAAATACCTGACAGAGATTAAGAGCTGCATGGGTCCTTGTGAACAAGTATCTTGTATAAGCAGTGTTGAAATTCAATCTCCTTTTTGGTTTGTGTGGATGAGGTCTGGCATCTGTACCCTGCCCGCACATGGCTTATTTTTGCGTCTGTTAAATTAACACCGTGAAGTGTGAGACAGTGAGAACATCGTGCAGATTTCCTACCTTGTTGCAAACTGGGCAGGGATAATATCTAACTGTAAACTAATGTTTCTTGTCCACTGCATTTTTGCTTTTGTACCCAAAAAGGATTTTCATCCGCTTTTACCCACTGGAGCCCTGGCAGATTGGCAAGAACAGAACAGTCATGACATTCCTGTGATACCCTTGAGCAGCCGATGGAACAAAGCAATGATGAAGAGAATCTAGAGATTACCAGCTCCATCTATCTAATTGTTTCCTCTTATGATCAAATCTGTGTAGCTCTGCACTTCACCTGTGTAATTCACTTTTGTCTTTGCATCCTGTGCACACAAAGCTGAAGAGTGGGACGATCAACTGTATTAACGTTACTGAAATAATTCAAGGTCTTTGTCTCAAGCCTGTCTCGTATCCCAAAGGCTCTCCTGGTGTGGAGTTTTGGGATCATACAGCATCTCGCTGTCTTCCGTGGCTGGTGTTTTCAGCTCACTGTCCCTGTGGGGAAGCATTTTAGGTTTTTAGGACCCATATGCTCCCTCACTTTATAACTGAAATACATGAGGCATTTTAGTAAAACAAAAGCACAGTATTTTTTATGTCTAATGTTATCTCCGTCTTCCACTGGTAATGAGAACACTTCTCAGTGTTTTCAGACTCCTACCAGCCACTTTGTGACTCGGTCAGGTTGCAGACGGGGAGCTCAGAGGAACTGAGAGCCCGCCCTTGGAACATAAAAGTGTCCATGGGAACACAAGGCTGGAGGATGCTCCTGTGCCGCTCTGCCATTCTGATTGCGGTTTTATTTGAGACTTGAGGACTTGAGCTAGTTGAAAATATTCCTTCTAATTACCATTTGCACTTAGTTGTTCCCTATGCAGCTTAAACACCTGTGTTTGCAAAAGTCAGGAATATAACACCAAACACCAGTTTGTGTGTCAGGCTGGGGGGGACACACACGTTAAACCTGATCTAGTTAATAAAACATATAAAAGCCTCTTTTTGATAAGTGTCAGTTTGTTGGCTTCCAGCATTGGATGGGGTCTGCTTACCATCTGGACTTAACATCCCCCAGCTGTAGTAGATCTTTTTACTGCTGTACAGACTCTAACTTCCCAGGTTTAACCTCCTAAGGTTAACCAGGATTTCTGCTTCCAGAAATGACCTCTGTTGTTTGAGAACTCTGTGTGGGCATATTTGCAAATTCAAAGGTAAAGAGCCACTTTTGAACGTGGTTTAACCATTTCCTAGCTTCCGACCTTTGAACTGCAGAAGGTCTTTCTATGTATGTACATGAGCACGCTGAAGGGCACCCCTGACAGACATGTATTACAGAATCATGATGGCTTCAGAGGTTATTCCGTGGGTACAACAGTCTGATGCTGCTGTTCACGGCAACACCGCCTGTACTTTGCCACAACGGAAAGATGGGGGCATTGTTTTCACCCACAAACAGACCCTGGAGTTCATCCTTCTAGCAGTAAATGCTGGGTCAGTGAAACGCTTGAGCACAAGCTGAACTTCATCAGTGTGATGTGACTCGTAACAAGAGGTGCCATCTAAGCTGTGGCTGTACCCCGCAGATGGAGCGAGGCCTGGGTGTGCTGGGTCTGCTCAGGGCTTGCCTGGACATTGTGCCTGCACCAGGGCTCCGGTAGGGCTGCGGCTGTCACACCTTGTCTTTCAGGCTCACCGCAATGTCATCACCTCAACATTTAAATACAATTATTTGTACAAGGAGCTGTTTTGCAGTTACGGTCTGGCTCGAGTCGCTCCTCGCACCGTCCTGCCGCCACCACACAAACACCTCCACCTCCCTGGGGCAAAAAAGCACTTTTCCACCCCAAGTCACGGGAAGTTTTAGGGATAAAACAGCAGTTTTAGGATGCGTTCCAAGCCCATTGCGACGCCATTCGAGCGCTTGCTCCACGCCACCGGGAACAGCGCCCTCCGCCGCTCTCACCTCCAGCTCCAACCGCGACCCGCCCCGCCTTCCTGTTCCCCGCGTTCCCATTGGCTGCCAATGGAGGCCGCTGCTCTGCCAATGAGCAGCCTTTTTGTTGGCGCGCGGGTCTCCGGGGCTCCGGCGGGGGTTGCCGTGGAGACCGCCGGTGGGGCCGTGTCTCCGGGGAGCCGCCGCTCGCCTGAGGGAGCCGCGCCGGGAGCCCCGCGGCGGCCGCTCCCCGCCCTGCGCCGCCATCCCGGGGCGGCCCTGCGAGGTGAGTGTCCCGTCCGCCGCAGCACCGTGGAGGGGCTTCAGGGGCTGCCGGGGCTTTGGCCCTTCCCCTGCTGCGAGAGCCCGGCGCGGCGGGGTCGGGCCTCGCCTCCGTGGAGCCACGGTGAGGGGCGAACGTGGGTTCGCTCCTTCCCTCGCCTCCTCCCGGCCTTTTGTGCCGCCCGCTGGGACGTGGAGCCCGGCAAGCGGAGTGACAGGCGTCCCCGCTCCTCTTTGCGGAAAATGACCGTATTTCGGTAAAAGCGGCTTTTGCTAAAATGCGGCGGAGGGGATCTTTGCCACGTTAAAAACAAAACCCGAAATAAAAATAGGGTGGTTTTATTTTGAAACAAATGTGTATTTGCAGTGAATGGATCCCAAGTGTAGCAACAACAACAAAAGCCAGGAAAGCCCAAGTCGCTCCCTTTGTTTCTTATCTTGAAGTTGGGAATCGCACAAGCTCTGGAAACGGAGCAGACCGTCGAAATTTTTAACGAGGTTTTAAACTACTGAGGTAAAAGGAGACAAGATTTTGAATGCAAAAGGCTTTAAAGAGGTATTGTTGCCTTTTGAGGATGTGCCCACCTGTCATAGCCACAGATGGATCAGCTGAGACCCTCCTGTAGCTGAAAAAAGTTCAACCCAGTTTATAATACTCTATATTAAAGACTATTTCTTTTTTTTCCCTACTTAATTGACGTAGCTGGTTCCTCTGGAAGTGCTTGTAGTGACATGCTTTATTCCTAGATGTTACAGTAGTGTGGTAACTCGGTCCACAGTTACGTTTGCAACCATGGACAGTAAAAAAAAGAGATGAAACAACTCCCCACCTGCCTGACACACAGGTACAAAAGCTGTGTGGAGGCAATGTCCTTGCCCTGTTTCTCAAAAGCATTACACTGTTCTGTTTGGTTATGTGCGCTCAGCTTGTGAACCCCAGAGAGGAAAGGTGCTAAATACTTGTTACAAACTCTCTGTAGAGATATAAAGTGGAATTAAAACTGTTTCCCCACCTTTTCTGTAGCTGCAGTTTCACTGGCAGTCTAACCGCAGAAGTAAACTCTTGACTGTAGTCCCTCTCCTGTTGAGTTCCTCTGCTGCCTTGAGCAAGATTATGTGGATTCAGCAAAAGACTTCAGCGATTTCTGAATATAGGTGTATCTGTAAGTGAACTTAAAACCACTCGGGTTAAATACGTAGTTGATATCGTCTAATCATACAGTCTAATTTATTTAGATGCAATAAGCATCCACACTTCCTGTCAACACCTGGGGTGTTCAATATTTCTGAAGGACATAGCCATTAATCCCTGTGCATGCATTTTCTCCATTAGCAAAGCAGACCAGGAATGCTTCTCTTGAAAGAGATTTGAGGTTTTATTAATGTTTATTTACTTAAGGAGAAAAATGTTTTATTGCTGTGCAGTTGTCAGTCTGTTTAGGTGCAAGTGAGGAAAGTAAGTGGTGCATGGGCAAGCAAAATACCATTGCTGAATGAATGGGACCCTGTCAAAGCATTATTTTCGCTACATGCAGAACTAATCATGATGATGTATGAGCTAATTCAGCTTACAGTTCAAAACTCCCACTGCTTCCTGCTGTGGTTAATTCTGGACTTACTCTTCTATTAATGTGGCCTCCAATATTAAAGACTGTTTTTAGCCTGTCTCATGCATGTCACATTTTTTGTTTGAGTTGATGGGAAGGTTTTATGATGTAGCAGTGAAGCTTTTCTTAAAAAGCAGCACAGAACTGTCATATTTTTTGCCTTTACTAACATAAAGTTTCAGGAAGGTAATAGAACATAAGTTCAGTTTCTTTTGTTTGTATATATCTAAGAGGTCTAAGAACTTGCTTTTGCCTTAGAAGGTGGTCTACACTCAGAAGAGACAAGTGTGTTATAAACACTGGTTCTGTTCTAGCAGGGATAGCAGTGATAGAAACATTTTTAATCAGAGGAATTTCCAGGCACAGGCAGTATTTTGAGCAGTAGGTTGACCAGCCGCTCTACCCTGCTGCAAAGTCAGTCCAACACAGATAACCTTCTATGTTTTCCCTCCTGTTTTGTAAATATCCATAAATGCTGTCGTATCCAGGCATGAGAGTACACTCTGGTTTGTGCTACAGGTAAAAGGTGCAGGAAGGATTCTAATTTTATTTTTGTAATGTAACTTAAGATAAACTCATAAGCAATAATGGTTCATGCTCAGAAAATGTCAGAAGCTTTTTTTGGTTTCACCTTTGTCATTAAAAGGATTCATGTTGTAATGTTGTTAATATAATGTATGTTTATTAAGTATTTTGCAGTAACTGAATAATCTTATAGGCGTGATTACATTGCAGATACTCCCACCTCACCACCAGGACTAGGGTCTTGAAAGTCATCCTGAAGTAATGCATGTGCTTAAATTTGTATTTTGCTCTCTGCCTCTATTAAAATTCACTTTAATATTATTGTTCCTACATTATAGGGCAATTTATCCCTTGGCATGGGGGGTGGTGGTGACATAGGGCAGTTAATTGGTTGTTGATTAAAGTATTCCCAGCCTGTCTTTTATTTCTGAATGCTTCCTTTATGGACAAAATAAATATTCTAACCCTGTTTGCTTTCCAGACCTGTTTGTGTTAGGCCTTTCGTCCTAATCCTGGAGAAAAGACAGTGAGAACAGCTGAGAACATGGTAAGTGCTTATTGAGATGTTTTTTGAGATGTTTTGGTAGAAATAAAATAGAAATTTTTCTCTTTCCCCGGGACTAAGACTAAATTGGCATATTAAGAACATTGGGTTTGGAGTGATTGTGGTTATTCTTATTAAAGAATTTGAAAACAGTTTGCTGTAATTGTCTGTTCTGGGGAAACTGTTACTTGCAAGACACTTGAAATTTTGGGTTTTTTTTCAGCTGATTTAATGGGAGAAATAATTTTGAACTTTCATTGTTTGCAATTAGTGATGACATTACAGTTCTTGTAACTTTATGTAGAGATCTCTCAGTATTGTCCATTTACCAAGTAAAGTAAAAATAGAGAAAACTTGACTTTGCGAAGGCACACTTGTAGCTGTAACATTTCTTGTTGCATCTCGACTGTCATTCTAGATCCGAATTGCAGCATTGAATGCGAGCTCCGCAATTGAGGATGACTACGAAGGTACCTTTAAGAGTCATAAGACACAGACAAAAGAAGCCCAGGTAAGTAAACTCACAATTTTTTTAATTATATTTAAGAAAGTTGCTCTACAAAATAGGTTCTGTTTTTTTAAACCACAGGAAGCAGAAGCTTTTGCTTTGTACCACAAAGCTTTGGACCTTCAGAAACATGACCGATTTGAAGAGTCTGCAAAAGCTTATCATGAGCTGCTTGAGATTCGTCTTCTGCGAGAGGTCAGTGACCTTTAGAGAATGAAACTCTAGAAACTGGCTTTATTTGATATTATTTCATTTCTTTCTGGCTAGTTGAGAGATGTCAGTGTTATCAATTGGCAAATAGTTTGCTATTCTTTTTACTTGTGTGATGTCTAATTCCTGATGCCCACGTTGCATTTATTTTATCATTTCTAGGCAGTTCTTTCTGGTGATGAGAAAGAAGGACTGAAACATCCAGGCTTGATGTTAAAATATTCCACCTATAAAAACCTAGCACAGTTGGCAGCACAACGCGATGACTTAGAGACAGCCATGGAGTTTTATTTGGAGGTACAGTACAGCTGAAATAAAACACTGGAGCCTCAATGTCTGCAAATACTTGCCAAAATATAGATGTACACCTTTCAGCATACATCACTTG